CATAAAAAAAACATAATTAGTAATTCATAAAACCACTATTCTTAATATAATAATATGTACTTGCATGTTTTTAAGTGCTTGCACCTTATTTCTAGATTTATCATAACCAAAGAAGGACCAAATGCATTGGAGACTTGCAACTCTCCACATAAATCAAACATATGAAAAATAGAACTTACAATATGAACATTAAACAATTATACACATATACAAAATACAAGGGAAATTCGGCAAAAAAAAACACGAACTTTGCACGAATTGCCAAAAGAAACCTGTACTCGACCCTGGCCAAAAAAGTACTATACTATTGTTGACTTTTTAATTTTATTAAGAAACTTTTGATTAATTGGCCAATTTGACACACCGTTAATCTGCAGTTTAGACAGTGACCCCTGGATTTGAACCCGAGTTGACTTGGTCAAATGACATGGTATTTTACCACTGGGCTAGTGTTACTTTCATTGTATTCACTAACATATTTTTTTTTATTGAGTACTAATTGAGTATAAAAAATCTCTAAAAAACTTAAAAATACCTTTAAAATTACAAAAAACTGAAAAATAAAGATTTTTTTATAAAGTTAATTTTGAAATTAAAATTAAAAACAAAATTTCGTTTTTGTTTTAAAAAAAAATCAAAAAGCTTGCTTAATTTTCAATAAAGTTTAACTTTAAATTAAATTATAAATAATTTTTATTTTTTTACTAAAAATGAAAAAAAAATCGAAAAATTTAAAAGAAATCCAAAAAATTTAAAAATTCCAAGAAAATGCAAGCAAACTAAAGTTACAATTATCAGCTTAAAATTAAAATCGCACTCATAATGGGTACAATAATTATTTTAAGCATTTTCATTTTAAGTGAAAATATTGAAGTTTTTTTATTTTTTTAAAAGAAAAATGAAATTTTATTTTAAATTTTAATTTCAAAATCAATTTTATAAAAATTTCTTTATTTTTGTAATTTAAAGGCATTTTTAAGTTTTTTAGAGATTTTTTTATTCAATAAGTACTCAATAAAACAAAATATGGAATACATTGAAAGTAACTCTATCCTAGTGGTAAATTACCATGTCAATTGACCTAGTTAACCCTGGTTCGAATCTAAGTGTCTATGCCTTTTTATCTAAACTATTAAAACTGAAGTACAAAAAAAGAATAACCCTGACTTTTTCTAGAGAATTACAATAGAATGCCACTACCTTGCAACAACTATTTTACGCCAGCCCATCAACTAAAATATTTGGGTTCTCATCTGAATTTTCTGCATTCCATAATTGATAACCATTAACTTAAAAAATCTACACATACGGAAATATCTTTAACTACAAAATACATTGATGAAATATTCCTTTTTTAAAACCCAAAACAACTTAATTAATCTTTCCTATTCCTATGCAGTCGGAATATCACAAAAATATTTAAAATCACATTTAATTAACTTGCATAAAATGTTTTCCTAATTGTTTCAACCATATATTTTGTTTTTAATATTAAAAGTTTTTTGATCACTATATTCGGATTCTAGGGATATTCAACTTTTAAAATATATTAAAAATATTTTGCAACTAAATCATAACTAACCAAATCTTTTCCAATTTAATCTTAGCCTTTCCAAAAGCAAGTATGTATATATATATGTATCTCATCTACCTTTCGTTAAAAAAACACACCGCCTCCAAAGAAATCCTAAAACATGTCTATAGTGACTTTTAGTCCTTTCACAAAGCTTTCTCCTTACAGAAAAAAAAAACAATTGATAAATGTTTACATTTGTAGAAGCAAAAGACATCTTTTAGAGGTGAAAACTTCGAGATAGTTTTAGCAGATCAATGGTAAGTTGATGTTTATCACGTTTCAGTGATTCATTACACTACTTATGTTAACTTGAATCTAATATGAATGTGTTTTTGAAGGGAAACAAGATCCAAGCTTCTTGCAAACGAAGTCATTACCGACTTCAACGTGCTTTGCCTTTAGATGAGTGGGGTGTTATTCAAATGTTTCCGTTACTGGAGCTGGTAGTCACTATCAAGTTATAAGTCATAAGTACAAGACGACTATAGAAGATGTCGTTGTTCTATCAGGCTCTGATTTAACTGATGATAAAATTTTCTATCTCTTGCCAACTATGAAGAAATTGGAAATGAAACTCTTAAGCCATCTTTCCTCATAGGTAATCTCGAATTTGCTAATATTCATGTATTTAGTTTTTTTTTTGGAAACTATGAATGTTGTTTTCAAAGAAGTTTTCAACAACCTAGAACAATTGGAGTCATAAGGTATGTAAAAATAAAATTAGTTATTTTGAATGCGTGATTCATTGAGGCTCAAAGAAGATGAAAAATGGTGTTTACAATCAATTTTTCATATTTCCAGGTTTGATTTGGTCACATGTTTGGTCTGGAGGAAGAATGCTTGGTGGTTCGGAACATCTGTTTTTTAAATCAAAAACCCCTATTCAGATAAAGTCTTATTCTACAGTTTTGAACAAATATATTAATTTCCTTTGGTCATTGAAACTATTTCATTTAAAAATTTGGTGTACAGAACACTATCATTAACATAACCCAGATATGCATCACTACATCATATGAATAATAAGATATTACTAACCTTATAATAATTTTGTTGTTCATCAAGATAGATTTCTTCGACTGCATCTGGATTACTGGACTTGGTTCTCAGAACGCCACACTCAAACCATGCGTCACATTCTAAAAAATTATCAGTATTGACACTATTGTATAAACAGATCAACCAAAATGTTGCTGCTTTATCGCTTCTTAGACTAAACTGGATGAGACTATGTTTAGCAATTACTTACCATGATTGAGCTCCATTCACTATCATTTAGAATCAAGCAGATTCAAATCTTTAAGTTCTTCTCCCTTAGCTTCTGTATAAACACTGCATGCTACTGTCCATCTGTTTCTCCAGTAAGAGTAGTTTGAGTACCCAAAGTAGTTTGCTTAACCACTTAATATTCATGTCTGTAAGCAAAAAAAACTATAAGAATCTTAACCTTAACTCAGAATAGTCTTAGTATAATTGCGATACTACTGATACTTAGTAAAATCTTACCCGTCGAAGAAAAAAGTTTAATGTCTTCAATCAAAGCATCGTTTATTATAACTTCTGGACCTTATATATGTCTCCAAAGACTATTTTTTTCAGGCCGGTCTACTCATAGAGCCAAGAGATCTATCAATATAAGAAAATTCAAAAACTGTAGGAAATAAAAATCATGCAATCTGAATCAAAAAAAGATGTTTAAGAGTTTGACAAAGGATAAAGTAGATCGATTGACTTACGAAATAGATAGACCACAGTGAATAAACATAAAATCGGAGCCTTTAGTTTCGGTTTGATTCTTCAATCAATTTTGTATGTGTTTGAACATTAAAGGAATATGTTAGACAGCTACTTGATCCAACCGACATAAAAACCAGAAGAAAGCAAAACGGTAGTTGCTTTTCAGATAGACATTTTTTTTTTTGCCTTTTCCCGAAAAAAACAATTAGCAAATGGGCAGTATTTACAATTGTATTTGGGCCTTAATAGTTTTTCACCTTTTCTGTACTAACTAATTATCACATAAAACAAAATATATAGCCTAATATAACTTTTTTAACAATATTGCTATATAGCTAAAGATGATTTGAACTAGAAAAAAAGATATGGGATGAACAATAAACTAAAGTTTTCTTTTAAAAATTAAATAAAACCTTCAATTTGTTGTCTTTAAAAATTAATTTATGAAAAACAAACATCCGCAGAATAACAGAAAACACAAAATATCATATTTTAATTACTGGAAGTTTAATCACTTTGAACATAAATTTTTTTATAGCCTACTATAAGTTTTTTAAACAATATTGCTATGTAGCTCCGTGGCGGAGCTACATGTTAGTTTTACATGGATCATTTACTCATATTATATATCTAAAATGGTAACTGTAAGAGTTTGAAATCAAGACTTGGGGTCATGAGGAAGATTTTTACCAAATCACCACAACAACAAGTACATTAATAAGCCTATAACTTAAGTTTTATAGATTTCATGTGGGTCAGATGACCCCCTTCACTTCAAGGTGGCTCCGTCATTAATGTAGCTAATAGTTATTTGAACAAAGAAAAAAAGAAATGGGATGACCAATAAACTAAAGTAGTAGAAATGAATTAAATGAAACCATATAATTGTTCTTTTAAAAATAAAATTCTGCAAAACCGGTTTTAGTTTTTTTGTTAAAAATTAAGAGACGGGTTCTTATGTTCCACTAAGAATCCCAACCGTAAGAACCCCTCATTAGAGATACTCTTATCTTTTAAAAATTAAATTCTGAAAAGCAAACATCCGCATAATAACAGAAAAAGTCCCATAATTTAATTAATGGAAGTATAATCACATTGAACAATACACATCCATGTGACAACCAAATAACATATAAAATTCTGACATTATAAGAATAAACAACTAAATTTAACATATTTTCAAAAATTAAAAATATATAATTAAGAAAAATAAACACCCGCGCGGGCGCGCGGGTCAAAAACTAGTTTTCATTTAACTCGGATGAGAGAATGTTAAAAACAACTCTATTCGTCAATGTAATGAAAAGTCCATTAACCAAGTGGCAAAGCCCCTACATTGAAAGTAACTCTATCCCAGTGGTAAATTACCATGTCATTTGACCCTTCGTCAATGTAATGAAAAGTCCATTAGCCCAATAGCAAAGCCCCTACCATTATCCTTAAGTGCACGAGTTCGAATCCCTGAGAGCACGTATTCACACCTTATTTTTAAAAACAAAAATACGTAAAATGACGTCGTTTCATCATCACATATGTACAAGTTGGCCAGTCAACAAAAGTATAGTGTTTTTTTTGTCAGCCCATATGTACAAGTTTCTTTTGGCAATTCGTGTAAAGTTCGTGTTTTTTTGGGCCGAATTCCCAAAATACAATACCCTTCTTCTGTCATTTGCAAATGGCCTGTATTTTAACACCTGTAAAATACAATAAAAACATAAAGAAACTGAAGTTATTATATGGAGCGTATTAAAACAAAAGACATGGAGTGAATATACCTTACTTTTTCATCTGATAAGACCATCTCAAGAGAATAACCATTATTGGGATTGAACGCAGTCCATGTATGAAGAACTTTAACATGGACCCAATAACCATTATTGGGATTGAACGCAGTCCATGTATGAAGAACTTTAACATGGACCCTCCATACAGATTTGAAAGGCTTAAGATCACTTAAGTTGCTGATATTAATAATGGAATCCATAGGTTTAGTTAAGGGTAAACATCTTGCAGGTTTATAATTGTTCGATCTCTGTGTCAATATATATATTTGTAGTCCTTGGTAAACTGTTAGACTATTCTTAAATCTAAATTCGTATATTATAAAAGAATATTCTAGGGATATATGCTATTAGATTTATATGGATTAACAGTGTAAATAATATTGATGTTGTCTAAATGGGATTGGATGGGGATGATTGGTAGTTGATGTAGATGCTGTCCACAGCCCTATTTATTTCTACAGCACTAAATTTAGAGCAATCAAGCTTTAATTTTTTTTTTAAAATCACAGCTCTTGAAATGATCTACAGCTATACAAGTGCTCTGCAGAGCCAAATATCCAAAGCAATTTTTTAGTGCTTTCCAAAAAATCTACAGCAATAAAATCTAAAGCCACAGCAAAAAATCTACAGATTTTTTTCTACAGCAAAAATTTTAAAGCTACAGCCATTACCAATCGGACCCATAACAATCTTGTTGCGATTTCAAACATTGTGATTTTGGTATAGTATATAAATTTATAAAAAAATGCATCAGAAAAGAAAAGATTTGCAATTAGGATTTGGGAATCTATTTCAGAAACTGACGAATATACATCGGAAAAATAAATGTTTAATCAGATAGGATATAACAACGTTGCTGCGATTTTAACTGATTGTAATTTTGGTATAGTATTTATCTATGTAACAAAACTGGCGATATATATAAGTCTACTTATCATTTTATATTTTTACATTTATGAATACTGATATTCATAAAGTTATAACTTCGACATACATATAGTGTTTAGTGTTGAGGAGTCCACTGAAAAGAATTATGGTTAAATTATGAATATGTCTTTGCCGATGTAAACTGAAAATCGAAGGCAAATGTTGGTTTATATGTGCATATATTGTTTTGTCTGTTAGAGAAGAGGGGTTTTAGATTTAAAATCGTATAAACACATATGTTTAATTAAGATTACATGGAATTAGGAGATTGTTTGTTGTGATTTAAAAATAAAAATAAAAACATTTAATCAAAAACATAGCTTTAAAATATTCCAGTGGTATGGAACTGTAGTTATTTTCAAAACAGAATCTGAACGGTTGGACTAATAAGATTTTGTCAATTTAATAATTATCGGGTCAAAACCACTTTAATCGGGTAAAACCGCTTTGATATAAAGTATATCTTAAAAATTAATGCAGTGGCATTTGGCTGTAAATACTTGCAAAAGAAAAGGGCACTTTAAAAAAGTGACTTCTGTTTTAATAGTATAGATATAATTACTGATTTTTTTTTTGCTTTAAAATAAAAAATTTGATATAATATTATAAAAGTGAATTTTAAAAACTCAAAAAATTTGAAATCTGAAAATTTAGAGAGAACATTAAAAAGTAAAATCGCTTGTGTCCCTCTTTATTAATAGTGGGGATATTTATAGCATAAAATGCTTGAATAGTGTTTTGATACGTGTCTTTTCTTGTTTTAATCTCTTACTAGATTTTTGATCCACGCTTAAAAAGTGCGAATACTATTTTTGTTGTTTTATCTACAAATGGATTGATAAGTCTTTTGCTTCGATGATATAAAATGTCATAGAATTAAGATCAAGTTGTTATGCGGGTATAAGAAATTTTTATTTTATAATGTCTCACACAATTTTTTATGTTTCTAAGTAAGTTAACAATGGTTGTACCTAAAATGTGTACTTGAGAAAAAATGTATATTTATTAATTAAATGGTCCAATTTTTTTTTAGTTTTGTGATAAATTCGTAAAATCATTTAGGTACAAAATTTCAATCGCTCAATCCGACCCGCCCCGTCCAATCGCTCAATATATACTACCTTTTTTTACTAGATAACAATATGATAACTTGGTTCAGTGGTTTATATGACTAAAACCTCTAGTAGTAACCTGAGCTCGAGTAAGTGCACTGCACATGTTTTCTTATTTTTTGTCCTTTTTGCTGTTTATAACACTAATCCTTGAAGTTAACATCTTTGTAGAATTTAGTACACGCAAAGTACTCAAAGGAAGCAATTAGCATCTTTGTGGAATTGTCGTGGTGAACTCATACGAGTGGTTTTATGGTTCTTATATTGACGCAATTTATATTGACAGAATGGTCACACGGTTACTGAACAACAAGATAACAATCAAACATGTCTCAACAACAAGAGCAAATCAAAATTTTTTTTCCATACTTGTAATTTAAACAAGAGAAACCAATCACATAAAGAGAGGTTATCATAATCTCTCTGTATTTAAACAATATGCTAAGAGATCAAGGATGACATCAAGACTTAACGAGAGCAAACAAAATTAGCACTGCGACATGTTTCTGCTACAATGTTGTGTCCGTTTGATGCTAGCTGTGATGGTAAACAAATTACTGGCTCGATTTCACTGCTACAAGTCATGAAAGAATCTCGAGTTATGGCATTGATTTTGGCTGGTTCGTATACGATTCTTTCATGACTTGTTTGATTTTGGCTGGTTCGTATAAGATACATCATCCCATATAACAAAAACGTCTTTCACCTTAGTGATACTAGTCTTACACCTCAAACAAAAGAACAACTTTGCTCAATCACAAATATAAAAAAATTCAAGTCAGAAAATAACCAAATAAAAAAAAAGATGGAGCATAAACGTAGCTGGCAAAGCAACTATGTTCTAACTTCCAGCAATACTCCAAACAAGCTGTGATGAAGTAAAATCAATAACAGAAGCAGACAATCCTTTCTCGCTAGAATCAAAAACCTACACAAAACACCGTTTGAATAAGCTCTAGTTCTAGTACTTCCACCATCGAGATCCACATAAGTGTTGTGTATATTTAACTACCTTGACGGCGGATCCCAAAGAAAGCGAAGAGGCTATAAAAGAAGACGATTTGGTCCGAGAAATCTAATATGATCCATCGCTCAACGCCGAATAAAAACTAAGAAGAAATCGTAAATACGAGACTGTAATAATAGGGGGTGATGAAGAAAGTGGTGGGTTAGGTTAGAAGTTAAAGTGAAAAACTATATTTCAAAATAATAATCCTTTTGATACACATTTTGGGTCTTATACGAAGGATAAAATGGGATTATCATTATTGTTTATATCTAAGGGGACAATATATTAATTTTTTTGTTCCTTTTTGGAAAATTTCTCTTAAATAATTGAATGTAACTGATTTTGTATTGAACATTTAATTATAAATATGAAGAATATTCGAAATATTCCAACCACTTTCCGAATATATTTTGTTCTATATGATTTTAAACATTATAAATTATTGAGTCAGGCTGTACTTTTTGTATGATCATGTTTTATTAGTCTATCAAATTTTATTTCTTTGTATCAATATTATTCTTATAGAGAGATCAAATTTTATTTCTTTGTTGATGTTTGAGTCATTATGGCTTATTGAGCCGAGCATAGTATTTTGATGTAAGAGGTTTATTATATGGCTTAAAATTATATTATTTCTCTATTAATGATATTTTGTATGTAACTGTTTATTTTCCTATAGATAAAACTTTTTTTTTTCTTTTTCCCATATAATCATTGTGGATTATTATAGAGTTAAATATATTTTTGTCTGATCATGTTTTGATATCTTACTTATAGATATAGTATACATGGTCTAATAAATCATTATCGTCATGCTCACTCGAAGGTGGGTTACACACATACATTCTAAATGGGTTTGTATATATAATGCAATTTTGAATGCTGAAATAAATAATTTTGAATGGTGAAATAAACAATTGTATGTAACAATTTTGTTACATCTTTCATTATATAATATGTATTATTTGTGAGTATGAATTTTACATTTTTAATATCTAAAGATTGAAAATTAATCTCTTTGAATTTATCATTCTGGGCAGAGCACATATTACCACCTAGTACATGTTATTTCTTAAGTGGTACCGACATTTTAAATGGCTGCTGATGGAGAATTTTGTTATTTTGTAGTAGTTTTTTTATTTATTTAGATATATTCTATATATTATTTTGTAGATATAAAGAGCAATAAAATACTTAAATAAGATACAGGGAAATTAAATAATAAATCTTATATATTAAAACAGAAGTCATGACTTATTTCATGTGTTATATTTTATTTTAGACCATTTACTAAGAAGTCATCATATTTAATTTTCCTATCATTTATTTTCAAATTAATATCACCTAAAGTCCTACTACGTTACTAATCCATCTTATTTAATCGTAATGCTTCACTTTACTATTATATAAAATCAATGACTTCTGTATTTAGGCCATATTTATTACAACGACCATATATTTTCTGTTACAAAAAGTATACATAAGTTTCACAAACGACGACCATACATTTCTAAAAGATTCTAAAAGATTTTGTTAGAATTTTCTTAAAAATATTTATTTGTATTTCAAATAAAAATGAAAGATATGAAAAGATATTATAATGATATTATGTAAATTTATAAAATTTCTAAGGATGGTCCAAACTAAAAAATCACACATGAAGTAAGTCATGACTTCTCTTTTAATACAATAGACTAGATCTCGACCCGCACAACCGTGCGGGAATTTGAATACTAAAATATTTAAATTATATAATAAATATATCAATAAATATAATTTAATGTTATATACTATTTAAATGTATAATAATGTTTATGCAGCTTATAATATTATTAATATAAAACTTATAAAATTTGTATTTTTGTAAGAATTTTTTAAAACATTATTATGTAACATCACAAATTTATATATTTTGTTTTATTTCTAAATTTGAAATATATTTTAAAAATAAATTAAGTTAGACCTACATAATACATAAACAAATATTTGGGATAGTATTAAAAGTATTTTACATAATTTTAATTTCTGTTTATAAATCAAAAATGAATTAAAAATTTAATTGTATTTTATGTTAATAATTTCGAAAATATATCCTAAAAAGATTCTAAAAGATTGTGTTAGATTTTCCTAAAAATAATATTTATTTTTATTT